AAGAACACAATACTTTTCTTGCATAGGCCAGCATCAGCCCAAGTTCTTCAGTTTTAAAATTGATTCAGAGCAACCCGGGCTGAGCTGCCACTCACCTGTCACAAACCCAAACCCCCAGGACAAGATCGGCACAAGCCGGATGTCCAAAGTCAAAGGAAGCCAAACCGACTTTGCCACTGGTGATTGATCCTTTAAGTAACGAGTTGGAGCACCAACTCGAAGGAATACTATCTCCAACAACGGCAGAACATCTCTACCTTGGAGCGTGACTGGAAACTTGCCCAAAAGCCTCGCAGAAACCGCCCCCAACTGCCGCTGGGGAATCACACTTTGGAACATACAAAGCCCACAATGCCACGTCAAGTCGAGAGAGCCAGGCACGGCACATGCCCTTCGATTGGGAACGTCTTAGCCGTGCTTGGCCGACGAAAATGAGAGCCTGGATCCCTCCAACAGCTTGGTCATTGCTCAAAGATTGACATTCAAAGGGTTCCTTCGAGAGGATACATTCCAAAACTACCTGCTTTACGAGGGGATCCTCTAGTCAGCCGGTAAAAGTGACCTTTATACAACTGGCCCAAATGTCTCTTTTCAGGGCCCAAACATGGACCCATTTTAAGTCACCTTGACATGCCGAAAACAACGCTGCGAGAAAGGCACAGACAAACGGACAACCCATCAGGCTCTGGTCTTCGATCACCTCGAAATGCAAAACACTACCGCGGCGAGAAAGGCACAGCGCAAAGCACTAATTGCAATCTGGGTTCAGCTAGCACTGGTGGCACTTGCTCGACGTCTTGCCCATTTGGCGAATGTCGAGGTGCTTTCCAACACCCTCCGCGCCTCCGCAAGGTGACGCCTCTCTCCTGCACAAAGGGGCGTCTTCATGGACGAATTTGCCTGTCCTCCCCTCAGGCAAACATGCAAGCTCCTGAGGCATGCTCATGTTCCAATTGCCAGTGTCCTCTGCACCTTCCATTGTGGCGCTCGAAGCTTAACACCAATGTATAATATAGATAATATGGATATCGATGCATGTGCACCTATGTGCATTTATACAAGGAATCATTGGCCGAGCGATGTCAAACAAACCCACCGCTGATGGCTCCACTTTCTCTACCTCGCCCTGGGCTGAGACGGTCTCAACGTGGTGTAAGACGGATCCCACTTTCGGCCACCAATTGAGAACATTCCTTCCCCCTCCCCCCCTCCATGCTTCTGAGCCATTCTGCCCTGAGCCACGAACCTCAAAGACAAAACTTGTTCACAATTGGGAGGCGCTCTATCCCCTGATATGTTTGCCTTGTTTTGCGCTCTTTGGTCACCTGGTTCCCACCATGTCCTTGTTGCTTACCCCTGAGCCGCGGGGAGCTCGGCTATGTGCCGCCCCCATTCCACTCCTCCAGCTCAGGATAGAAGAGCGAGTGCCGCAGGTGGTTCGGGACGGTCTTCACCTAATCCATGCTTCATACCCTGAAAAGAGGCACGCATAAACCAAAACAGCAATCACAACAGGCGACCATCCCTACACCTCTATCGGACAAAGGAACCCGCCGCGCACAAAGCCCAGCCCATGTTGTGGAATCGGGGGGCACCTAGTATGTTGGGCACAAAATGCCGCCTTTGCTCTAAACGATTTGTGGATACGAAAAGCCACCGCTTCCGAGCTCTGTGCTTTGAGATGTCTTGGAAGCTTGGACGTGTTCAGCCCTAAACCAGCATGGAGCCCAAAAGCATTCATTTGCACAAGAAGCGCGGAGATCAGGGCTCCATATTGGTTCTCAGGGGAGTACGGTACCTAAGAAGGCTGAAGGGCGCCTTTAGGACTCAAACGAATTCCCTTCAGCGAGACCCAGTCGAAGCAATGCCAAAGAGAGGTCTCTTAGTGCCGGATCGACGGCTGGGGTTTGCTTTCTGACAGAACGGGCGATAGCTTTGCGGATCAAAAACCTTGACTTATCAACACAGGCGTCTCAGTCGGGAGCCTATTATGAATCAGAGCTATTCTTTGTGGCTTACACTCGTGCCTTGTCTTGTTGCGAGGCTTGAGGATTGAGGTTTGAAGAAGCGACTGGATCCTGCGAAGGACCTAATCCAAATAAGACGTCGGCAATACAACTCGGCGAACGCTGCCAAGAGTCAAGTGAACAGACTGTTGAGCGCAACGTACATGTAACCAAAAGACCCGATGTGAAGCTCCAGCGCTTGCAAACATCCTGCAACTCCCAACGACCCCACCTCAGCAGGCAGCTTCAAACAGGTCATGCTCTGCTCCGGCACCGCAAACCTTGAGCTGGTGGAGTTCGGCGAAATCAGTTCTGCGGGAAGCAAACAAAATGAGGACTCGAGTGCCATGGTTCACTTACGTATTACGCAAGGCTACGGAGAAGGGCCAAGGGACTAGCAAAGACATCTGCGGAGGTCTTGCCTGCAGCACCTTTGTCAAGAGGACTTGTTGCCTCCGTAACCCAGAGACGCAGGACATGGAATGCAAAAGTTACAAGGGATGGTGCACACACATCTTTGGACAGATCCCTCCTGTTCATGGGAGCCTCGTTGCCCTCACAGCAAATTGGAAAGCATGAAAGGCGTAGAGACATCGTAGTTGGTCTGTCATATAATTTGAGTGAATGTTCATGGCAACCATGAATCAATTACCGTGATTTGCAAGAAGCTGTCCTGTCTCCAGACTGTCCTTGTCTTACTTGTTTTGTCACCTGAGACATGGAACGGAACATCTGAAGTTGGAAAGGGCCGCTTATTTTGAGTCCCAACAAACACAACAAATCAGAGATACCACACACACACATAATCAACACCATACATTTTGGACGTTACGTGCAACGTGCTACTAGGTGAATGCCGGAGCATACCAACCATGTCACGTGATTCGGCCTCAACCTCAAAAAGCAACGCATGACCCAGCTATGCAGCATATGGAGGAGTTTGACGTCAGATGTGGAACAATCTTGCTTCAGTACTCATCCATCTGGCCTTGCCCTAGCAAGGTAATCTACTTGGAAAGAGACCTTGAAGTCTTCAGTGACCAGTTGAACATTGTTCTAAATCATTGTGCGGGCCAGAGACACAAACAAAATCCTTTTGCGAAGGCCTACGCGGGGCTTCCGTGGCTGCGAGGGTAGCTTTACGCGAGTGGTGTCTGCATTGCAAACGCCTACGCGGCGCTTACGCGGATTGAGCTTTTTTGGGGAAGTTAACTTTCGTGTGTTTTTGCTTGCGCAAACACAGCGAAACCACAACAGCCGTAGAAACGCAACATCTTCGTAGAAGGCATTCAAGGAGGGCCACGCGAACCTTTCGAGAGTTTCGCAAATGGTAAAACCCTTCCGCAAACCCGTACACGGCCTTCCGCGACCTAGGGAAAAAAAACACATTTTCAAATCCACATCTCCTCTCAAATACTACTCTCAATTGCAGGGTATTTGGAATGCTGCTCAGTTGTTGAAGGATACCCGCGAAGGGTTTGAAGAGGTCATCACTTGCCTTATGTCGGAGTGAACTCGGACGGTGGGAACAAAACGGAATTGGCACATGCGAGGCCAATGCCTACGGCACCTTGTGCTTAAAAAGGCCCAGACCGAGACCCCCAAACATTGGACATTTCCTGTGTTCACTAGGCAAAACACGAGGACACTTGGGATGACTCACATTGATTTCCTTTGCTCACCTGGATTTCCTTTCCGCCTGGACCTGAAAGCCAAAAACATCAAGCAGCTGAGCCCAAGTGACATCTACCCGGCGGCCATCTCCAAGGCGCCGACCTGATCACCGACCTCGCTCTGCAGTCCTGGCTGAATCCAAGTGTCCCATGTGTCAAGTCTGACCCTCCTCCGTGATCAATTCGGAAAAGGAACAAAATGGAATGCCCAGGCAAAAGGGGTTCACACAGACATAGTGAGTCATCGCGAGTCGATCCGTTCTTTGCACTGCTCTTGAAGGGACCAACACGAGTCACCGTTGAGTGTTTCCAAAGGTCCAACAAGTTTTTGCCTTCGAAGGATCCCAGCTAAACCCAACCGGACTCCAGGGATCCTCTTCAGAGAATGGCTCATTGCCCCATGAAACATGGATGATTGAGTTCCCATGAACAAGTGCAACCATGATCCTCATCCGTTTTGTTTGCAAGCGGCCACACACACATACAGTAGATGGAACTTCTCATGCGCGGCTTCCTCACTTTGGGCAACAGGTGGGGTCCCAGCCAATGAGAACGACACAGAGCAGAGAACGGAAACTGGAGCAAGGAGAAGCAACATGAAGCCAGGAGAAGAAACATCAAATAGAGAGAGCAAGAATGGCCAAAGGGGAAAAGGAGGGAACAAAGACAAAAGAAAATGACAAAGAACTTGCCCATGAATGGGTCATGAAGCCCGGCCTTCTTGCTCAAACCAGCTCTGTCATATCAACACCTCTCTCATGTTGCTTTTCTAAAGGTCTGCTTGCACATGGCATTCTCCCCCACTATCCGCGTCAGCCCCCTCCATTTTTTGTTCAAAAAAAAATAAACAAATAAAACATATAGAGAATAACAATAATAATCTGGCCCGTCCAAATAGCAAACCACTTGGCCTCTTTTCGAGCCGCTTCCGGGTGGTCCTGCGCGCCAAGCCCTTGATAGTCGTTGTAGAGCGTAAAGGTGTACACTGCGCCCAGCCGGGGCTCCTCCGAGGGAAGCCATCCAGCATGATCAATTCATCTGGATGCAAACTGTTCACAAATCCAAAGTAACTTGGGTCATACGGTATGGGTCAAAATTAAACCACCAGAGGACCGCTGGTTTTAGTCTTTGCTTCCATTTACCAGGGTTCCACTTTGGGTACCTATTCTTGACCCCCACCCACTTGAACCCCTACCAAAACCTGCATGGGGAGCCTTGAGGTGAGCCCCTTCAAATTCGCCCAGATTGATCATTCTCCATGAACAACATAACACAAATCTGGGGACAGCAGCAAAGACATGCTAGTGCCTTGTGCGTTCAGCAGCAAGATTGCTGCAGCCTGTGACTGTCATTGTCTAGCTGGTTGCTGCTGTGCGTGTCTGCTTCTCCCTTCGCTGAATTCCTTGGTTGGTTGTTTGGCCCGCTGACTGGTCGGTCGGTCAGCCAGGCTGCTTGGGCTAATTGGTGTGCTGCTCTGGCGAGTTGAGTGTGTTTGCGCTCTTGTTTGCCTGTCGCCCTATACTTCCCCTTAAAACATCACCCCCACAAAGAGACACTCACCTTTTATGGGCCAAGAAGGTGATGTTTGAACCCACCAAAAAGGGAAATATGGCCGTGGGTCACAAATAGGTACCCTAAATGGAGCCCTGGTAAATGGAAGCATGGACTAATACCTGCGGTCCATATCCTGGTGGTTTAATTTGGACCCATGCCCATATAGGGACCCCTCTTGTTTGCGCTCGCCGCGCCTGAATGTCATTGCAGTGCACGTAGAGGTCCCCGCCATGAAGACTTTGCCTCAGGTCCCTGCGAGACATGCGGAATTCATCGGGGACGGCCGGGCCTCGAGCCAGGTTTCAACTTGGTTGCTGTTTCTGCAAAAAGTTTGGCTTTTTGTGTGTTTAGTCAAAAAAACCCTGGACTTCCCAAAAAAATAAAGTCTAAAGATCCAACCCAATAGCAGTCAAGTCAAACTGCAACAAGGCAGGGAATCCTTGGACAAAGGTCCAACCAGCCTTTTTGCGGCTGAAGCGTCCAACATTAAATGTGGGAGAAGTAATTATGTTTCCTGGTTTGCCACAGGAGCAAAGTGGAGCAAAGTCTGGGGCAACACACAGGGGCTGCTTTCCGATGGGCTTTGCAAGATTAGCCAATAAGCTGGCAGGGTGCACCTGTCACGCCAATTTCGGATGGATGGCTGGGGTCTCGATAAAAAGCTGGGAATGTAAGGGACCCCTCTGAAACAAGGGACCCCTCTGAATGGTTGATTCCTCAAGTTCTAACTGGAATCAATCAAAAAGGAGTCCCTGATTTTGGAACACATGCATATGTATATGTACAAATATACACAAATACCATTTGCTTACGCATGTGTATTGTTATACATATCTACATGAGTGTTGCTCAACATTTCATTGTCCAGAAGCGGCCATCTCCGCGAAAGAAACATACATTCAAAATCCTTTGCAACACCATCGCCGTGCACTTCTATGTACTAGAGCCAGCGCTTCCGCAGCCGCGGCTGGAAAGTCAAACACTTTAGAGTGCCAAAGCAGTATGCCTACTCAGTATGCAATATGTCATTTGTACCGTTGCATCTATTTACATTCGCATGAAAAGGCTGACTGTCATCCCAGTAAACAAGCACATACACCACTTGGTGTGCTGGCGTGCTTTGAACACATGGCTCATGAGCTTCTGTTAATGAATCCGGATCCTGATCGCGGTGACATTTGAAGCAACCGTTGAAACCCACTGACCATGCCTCCTTCAACTTCTGGCAGATGGACTTTGACAAAAACGGGCATGATGCCCATGCTCCGCGACCAAGACTTGTAGCACAGGGAATGGTCCGAACGGTGCTAGCTGACGCTTTTGGATCATGGCATCATGGGACGCAACTTAAACGAACCCTTGCTCCATATTGCCGCCAGACCCAAACCTTCCCCCAAGGACCGATCAAACATAGCAACACACCGGGCTGTTTGACAGTCGCCTTCATCGAAGGGTTGAAAGACATGTATTCTTCCTTCAACAACACCAGCCTTGCGAGCTCCAGGAATGACTCTTCAAAACCGGCAAACAACAAGAGAGAGAGAGAGAGAGCGAGAGAGAGAAAAGAGAGAGAAAGAAAGAAACAACTAACAAAGAAACAAACACATAAAGAGAGAACACCGCAAAAAAATATAAATAGACAAATAAACAGAGAAATAAATAGAGAAAGACATAGCAATTAAAGAAATAAAGAAAGACAGAAAGAAATAAATAAACAATTGAATAAATAAATAAAACAACTGAACGAGAGATAAATAAATAAAGACAACCTAAACGAAGAACGTGTGAGAGAGAAGGCGGGAGTCACAAAAAATTGGGGACCAAATGATTGCAGCTCGGCAGGGAGTGAGCCATGGGGAAAACCAAACAAAGAATGCCAAATGATAAATCCGCCAACCTTGCTGGTGTTGAAGGGAAACTTGCTGGTTCTCAGGGGGGAATGAGGGAATGACCCTTATCAACCAGCCCCTATGGTTTCCCTTCAGGGAATCCGCAGGTTCCCTGCTAAGTAAGGCAAAGCCAAGTTCATTGCGAAACCCTCGTGTGGCAAATGACGTTGGGCGCGCCCTTCCCAATGAAACTCTATGTGGCATGTGTGAGAACCTTCCAAAGCCGGGTCTCTCTTGTGCAAAACTCAACTCTTTTCATGAACAAATTTCTGCATCCGGCGCCTGTCACGGGGCAAATGGATGGGCGAGAGCCACCCGAAGGAGTGGAAGCCCTGGCAGCAGAACGGGCCGCTGAAAACCTTTGCTCGTTGGGTGCGTCTTTTAATTAGGGTACCCTCTTGGGTTGATGTTAAAAATAATAACGAAAGGACGCCATTTGAGACACACGCAGCTATGCATGACTGTACTAAAGCAGTGTAGAATCATATGCTGATTTAGGGCCATCGCAAAGGAACCATAGCTTCTAATTTAATAGTGACTATTGGTGAGTGTTGGCGGCCAATACCTTCCTATCCGACTTTTGATCGTTGCTGACTTGCTTGCAAGCAGGCTACAAGGGGGCTATGTGGGTCAAATCAAAGAGCAAAAAGAAAAAGACCAGTTGGCATGCCAGGCTCGTTAAGAAGTAGAGAGTGGGCTTTTGTGTTGGGGTTTCGGGGACCGCGGTCAACATCAAGGCTGGCGTTCTACGATCAAAATCCGGGGTTGGGCAGCGAATCAACTCGTGGTGTGCTGAACGGATTGAATCACGGAATGGGATACTACAGGAACTAAACCACTAGGTTTGCCATGATTTGCGTACGCGGCTCAACCCTCCCTATCCCCCCCCGCCCCACCCAAACAAAAAAACTTACCCGTCAGCCTTAAGACAAGACATAGAGAGTGACCAATATCGCGGATGTGCGCGTGTGTTTGTGCTCAAGCTTCACCAACGCTGCTCAAGCTTCAGCGGATTTCCGCTCTAAGCCGGCCTTGTGTTTCTGTAGACCGTAGTTGCAACTGCGTGGGCCAATCGTCAACCCATTATGACTAGGTACTAGCTATTGTCATCCATGTAGAACAATACATGAGGTATCCTTACACATGTTGATCTTCCCAACTACAGTGTTTGCCCACGCTTCCTTGCCAAGCAACACACGCACACATGCTAACATAAATGTTTGTACATGTCTGTCTTTGTCTCTGTGTGTGCATGTGCACCATCATATCAACATTTATTCATGTATGAATGAGCGCGTATCAACGCAGCATGCCTAACTTTGTGTAGGGGATCAGCTTGACAAAACCCTGCGTGCACACAAATATACATATGCGCACAAACGCCATGGATAGTTCATCAGGTGTGTCAAATAGATTTGTGCATAACTCCATAGGTGTAGCCATAACTATAAACATGCACGCGTGTATGTGTGCTTTCCTATGGCCCCTGTTTTTGCCGGCTTCCCTTTTTGGGGTTGGTTTCATGGGACGCGGGGTCGCCTTGTTCTGCCACTCCACGAGCACCCCCACGCCCTGGCCCTCGCTGGCCCAGGGCTTGGTTTCGTCCTCGAGGTGAGATCCGTGGAGTGCGAAAGGGAAGATCTGGAATGGGAGACGTAGATTGCTATGAAATGAAGATCCAGTTAGTGAAAGAAATGAGGTTCAGATCCAGATTTCAGGTCTGAGATTTCATAGCAAGGGTCTTAGATCCATTGACTTGAAATGGAACCCACAGGAAATGGCCAAAGGAAGATCTGCGATTCCTGTGGGTTCCATTTGCCAATGAGCTAGTCAGTATCTCTATATATATATATTGAACGTAGGAATGTGGCTATGTGTCAAAACCAGGTGCACGTCCTCATGGGGCTCCCCTATCTTGACACATACCAATCTCCAGAAATGGGTAAGTGCCAAATGTTAATACCCTTTCTGGTTTGCCGCAAAAGGGAAGCAACATGACCACCAGGGTTGGTGTTCATTCGCAACCACCTAGTCAAATTCTGGGTCCAACATGCCTTCAAGACACAAACAAGGACCCTTTGAAGACCATGGCAGACATCCCAAAAGCTATCCTCTCAATGGCTTGATGGGAAGCCATCTAGGAAAAACCATGGCCATGTTCACTTTGGAGCCAGGTTTTGAGACACCTTGCCAGGTCGTTGAAGGGGGTTCAAAACGGTTGACCATAAACTTGAGAGCCACAAAGAGCATTGAGCGATTCGTCGGGCCGAACCCCGTGCGTCCCAGCCGGCTCTCCTGCGACCATGGCCTCTGCGAGGAAAAGGAAACCAAACATGCAGAGCTGGATCCAAGTTTGGATTCCCCACCTGCTTGGCAAGGGCTTCGTTTCGGGCTAGAACTGCAACAGGAGCCCACGGCCCATGTCTAAGTGTCAGGTGCTCAAACCCATTGGCTTTTGGTTCGGCTACAGAAGGCTCACGGCCTACTTGAAATGGCCAGGGCGTGTGTTTCGGCCCTCAAACGAGACGACGCAGACAAATGGCTGTGAATTTTTTGAGGGCCTGTAATGCGCGACGCGCCACGGAACTTGTCACGGAGGTCTGTAACGGAGGTCCTTCGCTTGGCTTTTGGCAGCTGCAAACATCTAACTGGAGCTGCAGAGGCGTGCTTTGCGTACTGCACTTGTACTGAAGAGTTGCGGCTGTCAAGCGGGAGCTGCTGCTATTCGTTGTTCTGCGCTACATGTGCTACTGATACCGATGCTTGTCAAGAAATGTTTTCCGGTTACAGACCTGCGTAACAATGGCGGCCCGGGTTGGGCTTGGGTCTGTAACGAGGTATGTAGCGGCTGCGTGACAAGGTCTGCAACGAGGCAAAGCAAAGCGCAGTAGCGCCTCCGCAGCTCCAGCGGCCAAGCGGCAGTAAAACGTCGGGTCGCGGGCCCGGGCTGGGGATGGGTCTGTAACGAGGTATGTAACGGCTGTGTAACGAGGTCTGTGACGAGACAGAGCAAAGCACAGTAGCAATAGCGGCCCCTGTTTCAACTTTTCATCTGAATGGCAAGCTCTCTGCAAGGTGACTCTTCAGCAAAAGCATGCTCTGCAAAAGTCTGATCTGCAGGCACCCATGGGGAATCACTGAGAGTCTGTGCATGCATTGGGGTATGTAACGAGGGGCATGTAACCAGCCAAGGGGTATGTAACGAGGGGTGTGTAACGAGCCAGCGGGTCTTGTTACCGAGGGCTGTAACGAGGTTTGTAACGAATGTCCGCCGCGGCTCTGTTACAGACCCCTCAAAAAAATCACAGCCACATATCAAAACCAAACTATAGATTGCAATAACAATAACATTTTGAACCATGAATGCTGCAAAAATAATAACACATGCTGAGTCATGCTCTTGGACCCTTCATGCCCAATGCGTGTGGTGCCGCTTGAGCTGAGGTCTGAGCTGTTCCATACCGGGCAAGCTGTCGAAGCAGTGTGCCTCAAGTCAACTGCTCAAAAGGACTCCGCACCATCTTAATGGTACCAAACATGGTCTTCACTCATCGGAGTGGAATGTACAGCTTGGCCAAGGCACAAACAGCATCACTTCATCAACTAGTTGAACATCTCGATTCTTGCCAAGCCAATGGGAACTTGCGACTTTGCCCAGCCTAGCGGCTTAGCACCAAGCACATTGAACAATGAGCAACCACAATCCCCTCTCACTCCACTGACAAGTCTACTGAAAGCCAAAAGCACGCAACACATGTCTCTCATCGGTTGCTTGCTTGATTGCTTGCTGGCTTGCTCGCCTGCCTGCTTGCCTGCCTGCCTACCTGCTTGTTGAACTTGCATTGCAACCACATCAAACACCAATTCTGAAGCTGTTAGGCACGTGGTCATTGTCGTTTCTAACATCTTTACCTGAAGGTGCAGCATTGCCTTCCTGTGGAAATAATTATCTGTACGACGGCCATCCGTGCATTCAGTGCATCCCATCTGTGGGTCTGGTACCAACTCCTGGAGTGCTGAAAAGCCGAGAATTGTGAGCCTCGCATCCAATGGCCAAGGGGGTCAAACCAGTAAATTGAAACTGCCCAACTTCAGAGATTGCACATCTGCGCACATGTATTCCTGCGTAGCTCTCTCTGCTTCTCTTTCTCTTCCCTGGCTAAGCTGTCCGGCCTGCCAGCAGTGAGAAACTCTGACCTATGGCAGAGTGACCCGCTTGCCAATCAGAACACCTGCTGGGTATGGGCAAAGCTGGTGACCACGAAATGCCAACATCATGCAAACTTTGAATAAGCACACATGCAAATGAAACAATAAGTACACCAAATATCGCTTGACTGCTTTCGCAACAAGCTGCCCAGGAAAGTTCGCTGACCTGCTTGTGACCATCCACGTGTTCTACGCTGCTTGAAGCGAGGCTGCGCGGCGAAAGCGAGGAACTGATACCAAATGCGGTGTGCAGGACTCCATGCCTGCTATCTTCTTGCGAGTGCCATCAGGGTTTGTGGTTTGAAGCCTTTGTAGGGAAATAGATGGCCTCTCCTGAAAGAAAGTGTTTGATCTTTAAGCTCCATGTTATACTCTCAGAAACGGATTCAAGTGGAAGAGTCTCTGCTGCATGCCACATTCCGCCCAGCAATCCCAGCAGCATCCATCCATGGGCGCGTCACAACCGCTTTGTCCTTTTGCCATCATTGCCAACTACTCTCAAACCGAATGAAGCTATGATGCAACTCGCGAAGCCCTTGCAACCAAACAATTCGGCCGACACAGCTTGGTCGTGTCAGAACGGCTAAGCGGCTTGACTGCAACGCAATAGGCTTTGACAACAGCAAGGTCTTGGCAGTGACATTGAGCAAACAAATGCCGCATGCTGGTCGCAAAGGCTTCGGCGAGGGCGCTCGGGACGAATGGCTCGGAAACGCCCCGCGCCAGGAACATTAGCGTGGCTCTTGCACAGAGCCAAAGGAGCAAGTGGTATGGACATCCCAGCTCAGGGTAAGGGAAGAAATACCCAACACGAATTAAGAGTTTGCCAAAGGGAGAGGAAGCACTTTGAGGAACATAGAAGTCAGAGTATTAGAGTATTCACATCTGCCAAGTCTCCAACCCTCAGAATCAGAAGAACACAGCAGCTTCCGTTTCGCCGAGAGCGTGCTCATTGCCTTAGACATTAAAAAGCCGATGCTAAGGTCTTGAGCGTGACATAGTCCTTTGGGCTATGAAGAACCCCATATTCAATCCAAAGCTGTAGCAGTGGTCACTATTTCAAGTCCGGAATGGACGCTCTTCACCTGGGCTGCACTTGCCAAGCCAAGGCTCTCTGCAAACGCCGCGGAGCTTCGACTATCGCGACATATGGCGATTTCTGCCAGGAA